CCACTCCATACCAGCTTTATTAGCAGTAGGTGCTATGGTGATGGCAATTGTTGCTACAAGTAAGCCACTCGGATTTGTGTAACTCAAGATGTCCACTCTAGTATTCAGGTTCTCTTAGGCTATTATCTAGCTACTTCTGGATGCTGCCAGACTTGAGATCAATTGCTTTTTCCTTAACCCCATTTGGGCTGGATGCAGCTTTCCTGTCAGCTGTGCTGTTTCTGAATTAAGCCCATTTTCAGAAAAGCATGATACAGAAATAGCTTGGATGACGGGTGCGAGACAAAAAGGACAATCTATATGGAAGAACAGGATTCTTTTCTGCTTCACCTTGCATCCTGCCACCTGTCTCAGTGAGATGGGTAATTTGGAAAAATGCTAAACCTGCCATGCAAGAATCTGTTTAAATTGACCGGATCTCATCCTGCTTCACATTAAGAACCATGATTAGTGGCTGTTTCCCCATTAGTAGATGAGAAATACAGAAACGGAATCCCTTTCCTGGCATCTGTGGGCTTCTTTCTTGTATGTAATCAAGTAAGCAAAGCACAGATTGCTGGAGTAAGTGGCAAAATAGGAATTGCCTGGAAATGGTGGGGTATGGACGGAAAGATGGTGGAATGAACAATTTATGCCCGTACATTTTTCTGCAGATTGAAGTGGTGGGCACCATTATAGTTGTAAGAGTCCTTAGTTAATTCTAACGAAACAGCAATGTTCAGATTAATTAATTAAAATATATATCTGCACAACTGAATACAATGAATTCATTTATATAGAACTAAAGATTTATTTATGCCAGTAAAGTAAATCTTGATGTAATCAAGACATTTCTATTCATAATAAAGTGTTGAATCTATTGCTAGGAAAATAGCTTTACGTTTTAATTTCACAAATGCTACAGAAATTGCTTTACTGTCTCTAAAGAAACAGCAGTATGATAGTGCTATGAATCCTAACCCTAACTGTTATTTCATTGATTGTTTAATAACAGAAATAGGCAGTTGTATTTGTTACATTAGTACACCAAATTACAATTGAAGTAGTTTTTATTATTAGCAAACCCAGACACCAAATGTATTATCAGTGCTGAATATTAAAGGGCTCTGTGTTTGACTGTCAGATGCTCTTTTAAACTTCAGCAGGTCAATGAAATTCAGATAATAATTTTGGAATCCAAATTCCTTCTTTACCACAACGTTAATGGCAATTTCGGACTACACAAGTAAAACAAATCAGTTAATACCATGACAGAATTGAAAATCAGTTAATGAATCAGTCTTGCCATTTTATGCTTTGAAAACAGATGTTGGGAAGCATCCAGCCTGGCAGGGAGGAAGGATGAGCTAGTCTAGAGCCACTGTGCAACTGCACAAGGGGTAGAACTGGCTTTCCCTGAATTCCTTGGAGCCTCATCTAATTGTTCCAAGAATAGGCTGCCAGACAAGAAAGTTTCCTGTATTGTAGGCAGAATGTAATAAAATACACTGCTCAAAAAAATAAAGGGAACACAAAAATAAGACATCCTAGATCTGAATGAATGAAATATTCTCATTAAATACTTTGTTCATTACATAGTTGAATGTGCTGACAACAAAATCACACAAAAATTATCAATGGAAATGAAATTTAGCAACCCATGGAGGTCTGGTTTTGGAGTTACACTCAAAATTAAAGTGAAAAAAAAAACACTACAGGATGATTCAACTTTGATGTAATGTCCTTAAAACAAGTCAAAATGAGGCTCAGTAGTGTGTATGGCCTCCATGTGCCTGTATGACCTCCCTACAATGCCTGGTCATGCTCCTGATGAGGTGGCAGATGGTCTCCTGACGGATCTCCTCCCACACCTGGACTAAAGCATTCCCCAACTCCTGGACAGTCTGTGGTGCAATGTGACGTTGGTGGATGGAGCAAGACATGATGTCCCAGATGTGCTCAATTGGATTCAGGTCTGGGGAATGGGTGGGCCAGTCCACAGCATCAGTGCCTTTGTCTTGCAGGAACTGCTGACACACTCCAGCCACATGAGGTCTAGCACTTTGTGCATTAGGAGGAACCCAGGGCCAACCACACCAGCATATGGTCTCACAAGGGGTATGAGGATCTCTTCTCAGTACCTAATGGCAGTCAGGCTATCTCTGGAGAGCACATGGAAGGCTGTGCGGTCCCCTAAAGAAATGCCACCCCACACCATTACTGACCCACTGCCAAACTGGTCATGCTGGAGTATGTTGCAGGCAGCAGAACGTTCTCTACAGTCTCTCCAGACCCTGTCACGTCTGTCACATGTACTCAATGTGAACCTGCTTTCATCTGTGAAGAGCACAGGGTGCCAGTGGTGAATTTGCCAATCTTGGTGTTCTCTGGCAAATGCCAAATGTCCTACACGGTGTTGGGCTGTAAGCACAACCCCCACCTGTGGACGTTGGGCCTTCATACCACCCTTATGGAGTCTGTTTCTGACTGTTTGAGAAGCCACATGCACATTTGTGGCCCGCTGGAGGTCATTTTGCAGGGCTCTGGCAGTGCTCCTCCTGTCCCTCCTTGTACAAAGGCGGAAGTAGCGGTCCTGATGCTGGGTTGTTGCCCTCCTACAGCCTCCTCCATGTCTCCTGATGTACTGGCTTGTCTCCTGGTAGTGCCTCCATGCTCTGGACAGTACGCTGACAGACACAGCAAACCTTCTTGCCACAGCTCGCATTGATGTGCCATCCTGGATGAACTGCACGACCTGAGCCACTTGTGTGGGTTGTAGACTCCGTCTCATGCTACCACTAGAGTGAAAGCACCGCCAGCATTCAAAGGTGATCAAACCATCAGCCAGAAAGCATAGGAACTGAGAAGTGGTCTGTGGTCACTACCTGCAGAACCACTCCTTTATTGGGGATGTCTTGCTAACTGCCTATGCTTTCCAACTGTTGTCTGTTCCATTTGCACAACAGCATGTGAAATTGATTGTCAATCAGTGTTGCTACCTAAGTGGACAGGTTGATTTCACAGAAGTGTGATTTCCTTGGAGTTACTTTCTGTTGTTTAAGTGTTCCCTTTATTTTGGGGGGCAGTGCAGTTAGTTTCAATTCTGTAAGTGTGAAACTCTGCAAGTCTGGTTGTTTATGCCTGAGAACAGTTCCTTCAAAATCATTTTTTTTAAAAAGAACAGCTTGTTTTGGGTTTGCTCTGCTGTTTGAATGTTTCTGAGGAACTCAGGCAGGGGAACTGCTAATAAAATTATCTTGAGAAATGAGAAAAAAATTTATAATCCGGAAATTGAGGATTGGATTAGTGGAATTTAATTTATCCATTTTTGAAAAGCAGTATTTCTACCAATCTCCCCCCTTCCCCCATGCACCATGGCTCATTTTGGCATAGATTTTATGATACTGTAACGTAACATAATAGTTTTACCCTTTTTAAAATTAAACCATGCTTATTATTTCATTAATATATATGATATGGTTACTTTTTTGGGTTTATTTTGTTTTTGGTATTTTTTGTCTGTTCTTTAACAGAGCAGCCCCCAACTTTTGGGGCACCAGGGACTGGTTCCAGGGAGAAAGGTTTTTCTGTGGACCCGACGGGGCATGGTTTTGGGTACTGCCTGCGTCTTATGGATGGGGCTTCACTTGTTTGAACCGGAGGCTGGGGACTCCTACTTTAACAAACCTGTAGTAACATGAACTTTATTTTTAAAAAAATAATACAATAAAATGCCCAGGCTTGGCCTCATTAACAGGAAAAAAGGTCATATATTGTTTTTTTGGCTTTTTACCATTCCTATTGAAAGAGATCAATGACTTTTGGACCTGATGATTTTATTGATCTGAATGATGCTAAATTGTATCATATAAACATTTATGATGCATTTCACTGTACAATTACTGATTTTGCATTCGTGATATTGAATGTTTACTGAAACTTAATCCCTACGACCTGCAGAAAGAGTTAAATAAGAACAAATATTATTTAGCAATGCTTGGATGTCACAATTCCAGGAAATCCAGGAAATAAAAAACCCCCACCTGTCTTCAGCAAATTCCTTCAATATTGTTGCTAAGAAAAATTTATGGATGCACCGTAAATTTCAAGGAGTGGAGAAAGACCTGGAGAAAATATTTAGCCACAGAGTTAAAAGGAATTCCTTGATTTACAGCCATTCATCTAGCAAACCTTGTTACAACATCAGTGAAAAAAGTGAGTTACAACTGGTTCTTTCTTGAACAATTGGACCAGTCCCATGACCACATAATCTAAATTTGGATGCTTGGCAACATCATGTATTTACAATGGTTGCAGCATCCCCAATGGGCTATTGCTATATAGCCAATGGGAAAAGCTGAATTTGCTTAATAACTACATGATTCACTTAACTGCAGTGTTTCACTTAACCACCATGGCAGAAAAGGTTATAAATCAGGCATGACTTGTTTAACAACCGACTTGCTTAGCAATCGAAATTCTGTCCAACTATGGTTGTGAATTGAGGTCTTACCTGTACCCATAATTAAACTTCAGTATAGCTAAAATGTAATGTGATATTGAAACATCTTGTGCCTTACTTCCAATACTTAGTGTGCAACAATTATCCTTGGCATGTCTTATGTAATAAAAAAATAGTATCGCTTTAATAATTTTACACAGCGCCCCTTACACACTTGTAATTCAATAAAAACAATAAAAAGCAAAGCCAACCATGAAAATACTTAAAATATTTTAAAATAAAAATACACCGGCTACACACAAATGGGGACGAAGAGACATTTGTCAACTCCACAGCCTCTTTTTCACATATCTAGGAAGCAAAAATCGGTGAAGCACCTAATTGCGGTCTGAAACTAAGCAAGCAAAAAAACCCGCCGCGCTCACGCGACACCCGCCCATCCGGGAGAGAAAGCGCCGCCCACTTTGCCTATTACGGTATATGATTAGCGGCTCCACGGTGCGGAAGCCCCGCCTTCTCTGTATGTGACGTCTTTTCCGGTGGGTGTGTGTATGTGTAGCCTTCGGCAGCCGTGTCCCCCGTAATCCCGGGAGGGCGCTTTAGTGAGAGGGGAGGGGCTCTGCCGCCGAAAGTTGCCGCGGCGCCCTGAGCTTCTCCTTCTCTTCTCCCGCTGTGGGTTTTTTTTCCCCGCTCCCTCCTCCCTCCCCCGAGTCGCCCGGCCCTTGAGACGGTGGCAGCGGATGAAGGAGCCGGCGGGAGGCCGCCCGGAGCCCCTGCTTCGCCGCCGCTTTCTTCGCCTAGGCAAGATGGGAGCGAAATGAGCCCCGAGCCGAAGCCGCCGCCGCCGTCGTCTCCTCTTCCTCCAACCCCGGGCGGCCGGGAAGCGGAGGTGGTGGCCTTGACAGTGGCGGCGGTGGTGGAGAGCGAAGCAGCGACGTGCGGAGCGAGCGGCGGCGGTGGCAGAAAGCGCGGCAGCCGAATCATGCTGGTGAGGAGAATCGGGTTCAAGCCGGGCGGAGGCGCCTCGGTGAGTACCTGCGAAGAGGCAACCCCCCCCCCATCTTCCCTGCCTCCCTCCTTTCCCTTCTGGAGGCTTCCGCCCGCCGAGGCTCCGGGGAACTCTGGCCGTCATAAGAGGGATGCTCGTCCTCCTGATGGGGAATGCGGGGTGGGGGGCGCAGGTGTCGGCTGGGTTCAGCGTTGAAAAGCTGCATCCTGCAGCCGGGAGGAGGCACCGCTGCGCCGTCTGCTCTTCCTCTGCTTCTGGGCCTGCTTGCCTTTGGGAAGGGTTGCAAGGGCGAGAAAGAGTTTTTCCCTCCCTTGGAAAGCCGTAGGTGGTGCTGAGTGGGTGACCGGTTGGTTGCAAGACCGCTGCTGCTGCTGCGCTTGGGGTTCTCGTACCTGAGGCCATCCCTTGTAATTCAGGAGATCTTGCAGGAATCGCTTTCGGTTTCGAAAGGTTCGCTTTCACTTTTAGGAAGCTTGAGCAGACAGACCATCATGCAATTTTTGTTTAAATGGCGTCTAGAATGAAGTGCGTGCCTTTGGGGGATACTAAGTGTATTAGAAATGTTGATTAGCACACCAAGGGTGGGTGGATGGATAAGATAACTTGTCATTTTTTTTTTTTTGCTGCGAGCACAGGTTCCCCATTAAAAATGATATTCTGTTGGCTGCTCTCAAGAGGGTGTATATCTACCCAAGCACATACACAACACACACATGCTATATACATATACATCTATACAATATACTTGTTTTCTTAAGTTTTCGTGGGTACTTACAATACACACACACACACACATACATAATACACATACATAATACACACACACATACCAACACCCCCTCACCACACACACGTATGTATGTATCACTATTTATTTTGAATACTTAGTGGAAAGAGGTGAGTGCTGATAGCATGCCAGGGAGGGAGGGAGTCCTCTAATGGCATTGGATGGAGTGAGTGAGAACCATCAATTCATTTTTCTTCAAATAAGCACATAGATTTTCTCCATGACAATCTATCCCTACCTAACCTGGCCTTTTCAGGTCCTCCAAAGATGCATCCATCACAGTTGTAACAGTCTATCCCTTGTCGCTGGTCATCCTGTTCTCTTTTTTCCCACCTTTCCCATCATTGGAGCCTTTTCCAGAGAGCTGGGTCAGGCCTCAGATACTTACATAATTTGCAATTTTCATCATAAAATAGTTCCATGGTAGGATCCAACACTCTCCAAAGGGAAATCTCTGTGTATGTTTCTGCCACTTCTCTAAGTGCAACCCTTTTTATTACATCACTGATCAGATTGCAACAATCAACTATATGTTTGAGTTGAATTTTCTTCTTATATGAATGGAAATCCAGATAAAAGAGAGGTCTATAAACTCTTGCTAGTTTTACTTTCTAAAATGCTGTGGTTGGTACACATGAAGAAAATGAATTGAAAAATAAGAATTGTACTCAGAGAATACGAGTAATTACCTTACCATAAAACAAGATCTTGGAGCAATTTATACAATATATTAGTGAATTAGGCAAAGATGAAAGCATCTTGTGTTTGTTAATAAGATCTTGGTTACAGGATGGACTCTCAGTATTTTAAAAATGGCACAGTAGGTCTAGTGTAATTTACATTAACAAAAATTGTTAATTTTTATAAACTTCGGATGCATTAGATACAAAACCTTGAATAGTTAATTAAGGAGCAGTAATTTTCACTTCTCATGCATCCTTAGTAACTGTTCTAGAGAATCCCTCAAGTGCATAGTGGATAGTTTTAATTCTTATAGATATTTGTTACATTTTGATTCTATATTTGTTGTATATATCAATGTTTTTGATTTTGTAAGTATTATTTGGTTGTTAGCTGATAGTGTGAAGTGTGAAGAAAAACATTTTATTTCTTATGTAAAATCTATTCAAATATGTTATGTTTTTTGAATTGTCATTAAATGGGGAAAGGGATTTTACAGGCAGATGCAAACATAGGATGCTATCTTCATAAAGCAAAATTGGGGCACTTTTGTCATCCCTGTCATCCCTAAATGGCTATCTTGGAAGGGTTACAACAAGGCATCTACCGAATCAGGGTACCCTTTGCTCCATACAATGACATATATAATTCCCACAAATCTTACTGTAAAAAAACAGTTTTTGTCTCTTCTAATATATAAATCATTGTTATAGAAAGAGATCCCTAAGGTCTATATGCTATTAATACTGTTTTTTTTCTTTTTATTAACAGCAAGGTATTGGCCGACCAAGTGTGTACCATGCTGTTATTGTGATCTTCCTTGAATTTTTTGCTTGGGGGCTTCTCACAACACCCATGCTCACAGTAAGTTTTCAGATCTCATCAACTGCGGCCTCATTGGCGTTTTTCTTGTGGAAGGAACCATTCTGTTCTCTACTTGTCCAATGAAAAGCTTTTTCCCAAAACTGTTTTGTGGCTAACGGACTTTCAACAAATAGGGTTTCAAAGATTATGAGCCACATTGTGGATTTCAAGAGAGGTGGGAAATCTTCGTAGGTTTCTGAAAGAACCCAGAAACTTATCAGGAATCTAGAACACATCCAGGAATTAGATTATTCCAAACTAACATCAGTTGTGCTTACCTTGTCACCCAACACAGAGAAAACATAGATTTCTTGAAAGCAGGAATTTTCTTAATTAAAATATGAGCTTTGTGCCATTAGATAAAATTAAAATACCAGTTTTGTACCATTAGATATGGGACATGATATCTGCATGATAGATGAGAACTTCCAAGGCAGTTCTCATATACTCCTAGCTGCTATTTAACTCTGTATGTGAATGTTGCTAGTGTCGCATTGCTTAGAGCAAAGAACACACTCATAATTGTTTACTTCCTTTGGGCAATACATTTTTTTGGTCATTGCTATAAACTTTCTATTTCTAGTTACCAACAAATTGTGTTCTTATTTGCTGAGATACTGCGATACTTAAAATATAGGAGTGATAGGGCTTTAATTACAATTTATGAAAGACAATTTAACACTGTTCTTTTCAAAATCCATCCAGTCCATGGGTATCAATTCTCTGTAGGTATCTTTAGGAGGTCAGCTGAGTTTTGGGAATGGTTTGTCAGCTTGCGCGTAAGATATTCTATGTATTGAACATTTTAATTTCTTTTCCTGTGCTGCTTGGAACTAGTGCTTTCAATATACATAATACAAATTCTACATTTTTTGTCCTTTCACACAGTCAAAATAGCTGTGTATCTGTTATAAGGAGATTGTGGGAGAGATGTAGATATATATCATACTGATATTCAATAGCTTTTGATACATTTGTACAATGTATTAATAAGCTTATTTTATTTTGACAACAAATCAGTTCTTTTAGTGTTTCAAATTACCACAATCACATTTCATGCAGCTAGAAATGTTCTTGCATATAATTATCATTTTGTTTTATTATGCGGATAATATATAACCTTTATATTGCAGTTGTTTAAATGTTAATAAAGTTTTAGCAACTAGTGAAGATACCCTTCTTTTGGTCTGGGATATTTCATTTTGATGAGGCATATGGCCATAATTATTTCTTTAATGGAGGTAGTGATAACTTAATCTAAATTCCAGTTTGTTCCTAGATTTGTGTTCAGTGAAGTTTACCACAGGAGGAAAGGATATAGGTGGCTAATTTCTTTAATCCTCGATTCATATTATTGTTCCCAATAGCTTCTCTGTATTCTGAAGGAGTAGACTAGTAATGATGAGGACTTTAAAAAGAAATGCTACTCAAGAAAAATTGCTGTATTCCCCTCCTATACCTTTTGTGTTCTTGTTAGATTGCAGTTCCCTTCATGAATGTTCTCATGAAGGAGCCTTTACTTTTGAAGTTATTAAAGATGCATTTACTTAATTTGAGAAGTTAGTTTTGAAATAAAGTGTTTCTCTTATAGGTCTTACATAAAACATTTCCACAGCATACATTTCTAATGAATGGCCTCATTCAAGGAGTTAAGGTAAGAATGTTTTAAGTATTATCACTCTTACTGATTAACAGAATAACAATTCTAAATTGGAAATATTACATGATTTATAGTAATAAAAACAGCATCAAGGCAAGTATTGGCATTAACACTTTTTTTAAAGGTAGTTATGTAATTAAAGTTGTGGAATATTCTTAAGTATATGTAAAACCAGTTCAATTCAGCAGGCCTTAATTTTCAATGGATAAAGCTACACTGATATTTAGTAAATTAAAAACATGAAGCAATAAAATATCAAAATGAAACTAGCAGCATATCAGTTTGATAAATAATCTGGCCTCAGCAAATGGTTTATATGAAATAAGGACAGTGTTTAAACCAGTTTTTGCATTTGTAAATTGTAGCTTGAAAGTGTCAGATATAGAAGAGCACACATAGAATAGACAAAGGCATGCACTAATATTAGCTCAAAAAAGATTGTAATCAACAGTATAATATTTGCACAACAACATTAACAACTATATGCTCCTTTGGCATTTGCCTTCATAAATACCTGCCTGTAAAAAGCACAATCTAAAACAGGAATCTTCAACCCATGGTCCATAGACCAGCCTTCAGTTTGTTAGGACTCGGTCTATGCAAGTGAGCGAAGTTTTATCTGTGCATGATGGGATCTAGATAATGCACAAAATCACCCCTTCTCGGTATGTGGAAAAATTGTTTTCCACAAAACCAGATCCTCGTACTAAAAAAGTTGGGGACTGCTGATCTAGAACATATTTTAATACTTGCAACATGACTGCTAACATTCCACAGGGCAATAATCTACATGCTAATAAAACTCTTCTTCCCATAACCTTTAGCTGGGTGAAATGCTGCATCAAAGGGCAACAGCTTTCGAGCCAAGGTACTTCAAATGGACTAACTTACAGGGACCAAAATCCATGATCTATGACTGGCCTAGGGCATTGAAATTTGGCAAATTCTATAAAAAGTCATAAAATTATCATAAAATAGTTTATGACATAATACAAAGTGTCATAAAATATTCCCCATGCTGGTGTTTGATTGTGCTATACAGTTCAACATGAGCTACTTTTAAGGCAGATACACCTCTGAATATTTTCTACTGAAGGCACTGCATTAGAATTTCTGTCATTGTTGAAGGCATTGAATCTGGTAAGAAAATATTTTTGAAAAAATGACCCAATGGGTCATGGGTTGACTAGTTTGTGTACAAATGTAGCATTATGTCTGATCTAGAAGAATCAATGATTGGGCCTTCCGGTTTGCCAGGCTTCGGCGGCGATTCGCAACTATGCACGATCCCTGTTGCGCTAGCCGTCTTGGTGCCTCCGATCCTGATGGGTCTGGAGGATAAGGCTGCCCTGTAGAGGCAGCCGAAGATAGGGAGGATCTGGGAGGGGGTTAGGGGGTGTCGCAGACCCCCGCCTCACCCAGCTTAACCTCCTTTTCTCAAGGCGGTGGAGCGGCGGTCAGCAATGGCCACCACAAAGAAGCCGGCAGCTGGAAAACGTGCTGGAGGAAGAAGGAGAAAAAAGAATCAGAAGTGAAAGTGTTGGCTGAGCCGGGAAAATAACAACCTTTAAAACCCTGGAATGGAATTGCTTGAATTGGCTGAAAGATACATTGTATCTCTAAGAAGAAAAAAGCGGCGGAGAAAGCTGTCAAGGGAACACTTTTTTTATTCACTCTCCCAACCCCATAGAAATAGCAGACGGAGACTTGGAAAATATATTTGGGCACCGAAGGTAATTCAACTTGAAAGTTATGAGATAAAGGATTTTTGGACTTTGGATTTAACAACTTCAGAAATTGGAAAACCCGTATTTGAGGTATGGCTTTCTGAGCGTTTAAAGGGAAATTGCTGTTGTAAGTGGGGGGAGGGGAAAAAAATTTTTTTGGAGCAGAGCTTGAAAAAGGAGGAGACTGCCTAGAACTTTAAAGAAAGATATACTTTAATGGGAACTTTTTGATCAATCAGTAACCCCAGAAAGAGAAATAGAAGAAGGAAAAAAAAGTATTAAAAGAAATAGTTTATTTGGATCTTTTAGTGACTTTGGAATTTTTTGGAATTATTCTTGATTAAAAACACTTGGGCGGTTGTTTTTGAAGAAGTTTTTCTCTTCATGATGGCATTGCTTCTGGATGAACTAAAAATTCAATATAAAAAATATAAAAAAGAAGAGCAAGATGGAAAAGATACTTTGGGCACTCTTTTTCAATTTCTAGAAATGGCGGTATGCACTTATGAAAAACTGACTACGCAGCAGGATGACTAGAATAAAGAAGAAGAAGAAGCCATCTTGGATGAACAATGGTTTTTTTTGGGGGGTGGGGAGGAGGAAGAGGAAAAGAAAAAGGGGATTTTAAGGTTTGAGAAAACAATCCAAAAAGAGAAAAATGAGATGAAAGGTGGATACAAGGTTAGAAAACAACAAAAAGGGGATAAGCAGAAGAAGAAAAGGGAGGAGGAGAGACAATGGGGTAAAAAAGGCAAGGAGAAAAATAAACAAGAGAGAAAGGAGGGGATGAAAAGCCTTAATGGTGGGAAGCAAGACTTAAAGAAACAAAATCTATTTAGAGACAATGGGTAAATTTAAATGAAAAAGGGATTCTGGAAGATACATAAGAGTGTGTTTTTGTATGTGTATTTAGAGTAAAATGTGTATTAATATATATGATTAGCTTTTTAATGGTATCTATGGTGGGTTATATGCTTTTATTTTGTAATTGTAGTGTACTTGTTTTTCTTATAAAATTTATTGTGTAATTTTAGAATGTACTAATCAGAATCCCAATATAATGTAAGTGTTATATTAAGCATTATTAAGTTAGGGGAAAGAGTCAAAGGCGTTACTCCAATCAGTGTACAGGAGAAGTATATTTAAAGATAAAAGATGGATGGATAACTGGAAAAGAACAGACAAAGAATGATAAGTATTATGAATTGTATTGAGATAAGATAAATAAAATAAAACTAAGAAAGATAAAAGAGGGAAGAAGCTATATAGAAAATTGAAAATGGTAATAAGATATGGAATGATATATAAAGTAAATATGATTTTTGAATTTGCGTCTGTGCGAAGAGTTTTAACCCGGGATCAAGCAGCTTTCAGAAATGATGTTTTTTATGTTTGATGTCTTGTATGTTTGTGTATTGTTTTTTGAAAGGCAAAAAATTTTAATTAGTAAGAAATATAATCTGGATAATAGAATGAAAAGGAGAAATTGGGATAAGATATGAAGTTGAGCATATAACGTAAATATACATATTACAATTTGGAAATATTTTGTATGTCCTTCTGGTTTTTCTAGAAAGATCTTTTATGTTATTATGCCTTGATTGTCTGTGTGTTCTGTAAAGTTAATAAAATTTGCTTTAAAAAAAAAAAGAATCAATGGTTGGGATCATATGCTTGGAAAACTGCTGACTTTTTCTTTTTCTTCATTCCCTCTCCAATCTTAATAGCAGCAGAGTTGGAACCAGATCATGTTGCACTATTGGCTAGGCCAGAAACATTTGGATTGGAAGTTGATTATTGTATTTTGAAAAATATTTTACCAATCATGCAATTGGAAAAACTGAAGTGTTTGAAGCAACATTGCTCAAAATGATCTGGTTTTATTCTGAGAAAAGCGAACACATTTTCACCCTCAGAGCAAATATGTAGATAGTCCTCATTTAGTGACCACACTTGGGACTGGTTACCCTGTTGCTAAACGATGGGATTGCTAAGAGAAATATCATGTAACATGATGGACTTACAATGTGACTTTCCATTTCATCATTAAGTGGGTCACCACGGTTGCTATGTAAAACATATGACCACAACTTGCAGTTTTACTTCTGCGTTCTCTGTTACTTGTTGCAAGATGGTTGGGGAGCACATAGATGATGATTTTGTATCCGCTGGATGGTGCAACAGGTTTGCTGGTTTCAAATTGCTCAAATGACAATCTTATGATTGCAAGATGCTGCCAAAGTCATAAATGCAAAAATTAATCACAAATGTCTTTTTTTTTTACACAGTAACTTTGAACATTCTCTAAATGAGGCATTTGATAAGCGAGGACTTACCTGTTCAAATCTTTTTGTAGATATCTTTTTGTTTCAGACTGCTTGACTTGAGATACTTGGAGCTTAAAAGAAGGATTCTGTAGTTTGTGAAAAAAATAATGACTTTGGGAAAACTGAGGGTTAGGATTCATTTCACTGACTAATTTGGATATGTGTAATCCATTGGAGGCATACCAAATGACTTGGAGAATGGTTCTGTAGATAGCAGAATAAAAGGGAATCAAGAACAGCCTTGTTACCAATTGCAGTGGTTCACTTAACTGTGGCAAGAAAAGTTGTAAAATGGGGCAAAACTCACTTAACAAATGTTTCATTTAGCACAGAAATTTTGGGCTCAATTGTGGTCGTAAGTTGAGGATTACTTGTATTAACTTTCATAATGTTGTGTTTTATCAGGGAATATTTTTAAATAATTGCAGAAAATGTCAGTATTTTGAAAATCCATGATGGCTTGACAGGAAAATGAATTTTTACATTGAAAGTGCAAAAAAGGAAAACAATGTATGTTTAATACCTCTGCATCTCTTTTAAGGAAATCATGTGAAAAGGTCGCTTTCTTGACAATTCTCTGATTAATGTCATTTGTATATTGAGGAAAATCTACTTTGTAAATGAGACTTTCCAAATATTAATGCAATTATTTGTACACTATTTAAACCCTACTGCCATCAGTAGTCATTTTCAATTTACTGCCTACTTGTAGACTCTCAATTTTATTAAACAAGCATGTGTTCCAAAATAGATGCACCAGTAGTCCAAATAGATATGTATATGGCTTAGCATTTGTTTGAAATGCTCAAAAGTGATAAATATCAAAGCAAAGAAAGAAAATATATGCTGTTACTGAGTGAACACTTAAGGCAGGGAGGGAGAGAGAGGGGAGGGGGGAGGGAGAGAGTAGAAATGAGCTAGCCCAGTGGAATTTTTTTTTTCAAATACAGTACATTTTCAATATTGTGTTCCAGTATTAAAAATCTGATCAGTATCAGAAACTGTTGAAATATAGGTGAAATAATTCAAAATCTTTAGAATATGGCACAAGTTTTATAATTCTATAGATACTGGCTAATATTTGTTTTATCTACCAGTCTAACTTTTATATTTTAGTCTTCCTTTACTTCAAAGTGGATTGTAGATTATCAAACATTCATGACTCAAGGTATCATGGGCTGCAATATTACAGCTAATTTACAGTTTAAAAGGATATGTAAGAATGGCATATATTGAAAGATCAAGCAGACCATTCTGTTTCTGTGGCACTTTCATTAAATTGTTCAGGTGGAGAATAGCTATGCCTGCTTTTTATTGAAGTACTTTTACACCTAAGGAAGATTTTCTGTGCTCACATGAAGCAATTCATCAATTAAGTTATTCCTTGGAGACCTTTTTATCCAGGTGTTGTGACCTTCATCAGCTGTGCCTGATTTAAGGAACTCTAAGCAGAATTAACTACCTTTTATGCATGGGACCAAGCCCATCCAGTTTGTTCTTTTTTTAAAAAAATAACTATTAAAGATTATGATACAATAATGGAAAATAATGTAAACTAAAAGAAAAATAGAAAAGCATAGTTATTGGCAGTGCTTTTCACAGCACTGTCTTCAGTTCAGCATTCTTCTACAAGTCTACAAGTCCCCCAGTTCTTTTTTTTAAGCAATAATATCATAAATTTTAGGGAAAAATATTACCCTTCTCAAATTAACTTTTTCATTGAGTTTTAGTAAAAGGTTTGTGAAGGTTGCTTTTGACTAAATTTAACCTCTTGTTTGTTGTGCTTTATGTCATCTGTCAATATGTGTATATATGAATGATCTGAATATTATATGCAATACTGGCTGCAGAAAAGCCAGGCAAATTTGATCTTAGAATCATAATATTGGAACAGGGCATTTAAACTATTAAGTTCAATGTTCAATTGAACATACTATCAAGAATAACCTATCACCATGTTGGATAGTGAGTTCCATTGTCCAAATGCTCTTATGCTGCCTTGTTCTCTCTCCCTTCCTCCTCCTCCCTCTTCCTCCTCCTCCTCCTCCTCTTCACATTCAGTTGTAATCTCTTTGATAGCTTAAGTGCCTGATTCTGTGGCATGCACAGAATGAGAGAGGATAGGCTTTGACCTGTGTGGCATTCATTCAAAACATATCTACCCAAAGTAGCCTGTTTGTCAAATGCTTTGCTTGAAGTAATTTACAAAATCCCTGAAATCAAAGAAGTTGATAAGATTTATTCATAACCTATCTCTGCTGCCTTCTAATAATTTGTAAAACTAATATCACAATAAAAACAGGAGAACTTTTATGTGTCCATTTTATGTGTATAAGTGTCCATCCTACTTTAAAAATTCAAAGAAATTAACCTGGCTGTTAAAAACATTTGGGAAAAAGCAAGTAGAGGAACAAGTAAAGACAAGTAAATCACTGTTAGTGATGTCTACTCACACTGTTCAACAAAAAGATATAAGTGGTGGTTTTGGATTTTTGAGAGACATGAAGTCATAATAGAATTTAATTACTGGTTTCTTTGTAAAGCCTTCCTTTTTAAACCTGATTTGCCTTTGCTTTTATTAGCTATAGTATTTGAGGCTGCAGTCCTTTGATCAAACATTCCTTCAGCTGCATTTGTTGTAAATATATACAGCAAATAAAAAGGTTTAAATGAAGTCTTCACTGGAAATTTGGTTAGCAGTCAATAATTTGAATGCTTTTCAAAAATTCCTAAAGAGGTTGAAGCTTTCATATAATAAAAATATATTTTTGTTAAAAACAAATGTGCATTCCATGAAGTAATCACAGTCAATCCATGTTAACATTTAAAACTATAACATTTATTAATCTCAAACTATCGGCTGTACTTTATGACAATATATCTAGTTTTCTGGTAGCATAAAGGTGATATTGTGCTTATGTCCCAACTGTGGGCAATCAGCCACTATAGAAACATAATCCTAGGCTAGTGAGATGTTTGGTTTTATACTACATAACATATTCTTAACTTCTTATTTTGCTTTGATCTACCCTTTGAAATGACTTTGTGCTTCTAGCAATCTGTAGGCATTGTGTCCTTTTGTATATTATAATATCTATCTGATGGAAACTTCATTCTTCGTTTTATTGAGATGGACGCTCAAATGTATTACAATGAACAATTCACCCATTTGTTTAGTAACTTTCACTTTTGCCATTGCCATGGAAACAATCTTCCCTTGTAGCTTAAGAGTTTTATTGGATTTCAAAAGTATGACATTCATGTTTGGGACTTATGCAGCTTTGCTGGCCTGCTCCGTGTGTGTGTGTGTGTGTGTGTGTTTAAAAATGGTTTATTCCTATAACTGTTGTTATTTCAAAATTATGTTTTATCAACAAGTGCTTTCCAAAATATAACAGTTTATAGTCGCTATGTTACTAGAAACAACATTAAAATAATTAACATTTTGTTCTTAGGGTTTTTTATCCTTCATGAGTGCTCCACTGATAGGTGCTTTGTCTGATGTCTGGGGAAGAAAATATTTCCTCCTTATTACAGTTTTCTTCACTTGTGTCCCTATTCCATTAATGAAAATAAGTCCATGGTAAGTGTGGTATAAATAACTCTGGTTATTTGGGGAGGGGGAGCTTGGGGGAGAGGGGACCATATTAAGAGATCTACTAAACTTTCTTGCTTTTGTGTCGAAGTGAGTCAGTGTAAGTCTTTTAAGCTAGTGCACTCTAAGTACACTTGACAAAGGAGTCACTGAACATAGATGGGATATAAAATTGACAAATAACTTAAAAGTTTGCTTTGCTTGCTTATATTTACAGTTTTTTATGTAGCTACAATTCATAAATGTGGTTCTGATTTTGCAGGTGGTATTTTGCAATGATTTCTGTATCTGGGATTTTTGCTGTTACATTCTCTGTCATATTTGCATATGTAGCTGATATAACTCAAGAACATGAGAGAAGCACTGCTTACGGACTGGTAAGAATGTTTCTTAATAATTCTTTGACACAAGGTGTACGTTGGTTTGTTGGGTATCATGTTAGCATTCACTAATAATTTCTGATTTTTTAAAAATGTGATATTGCTTAAAAATAAAAATTGAATCTGTGTTTTTAGAAATTATAGTAGCTCTATTCCTATACATGATGCCTAATGGAGAACACACAAAAAAAGGATCTTGTATATAGCATCCTCAAGTAATAAGCACGTCCCTTAAATAGGGAGAAGGTTTGTGAGCCCCATGAGGTAGACCAATCTAAGAATTCACTTCTGATACAATTCTTTTCTTCATCTTAATAGTTTATAAAGAGTTAATAATCTCTCCTGGTCAACTAATTACACATCCTTTAAAGACAGTTTTTCCTATCTTGGATCCTTCACGAGTGAAGAAATGCTAGGATGATCATTGTTTCAGAACTAATCCCTAGTAGAATTTTTATATAAAATACTGACTCTTAACTGGCCATTTTGAGGAAACTTGTCTTTATTTTATTGGTAATAGTGGAAACCGTTCGTTTTAATCTTTTGCAAATGTTAGCATAAAATGTATTAAAATGCTTTTCTTTGACACAGTGGAATACTTTTTAATATAGATGTTGGTTGAAGTAAGTGAACATAGCAGGATTCAATTTATGGTGTGTGTGGGAGTAGCTGTGTTAGTTGGATACAGCAGAAGCAACAGAGCATTGTTTGGTAGTTAAATAACTGACTATTAAATGAAGCACTGTAATTTTGTGAATTTATGTCATACATGTATTAAGCGGTGTCTTCTGATAAGAGGGAGAGAAATATAATCATGTAAGTAGAGAGTGAACAGGGAGGTCAGGAATTATTGAAGTGCAGATGGTGAAGATTGTCTTGATTACTTCCTAATAATGATCATTTTCAAAATGGTGGAATGAAACAGGCATTTTTAAATTAGTGTGTTGTAACACATGGATTATGGTAAGAAATGTTCATCTTTGTTTAAGATGAGAAATCAAGGGCTTTTATGATATTTTAGTTACATCATGGTAGAGCCAATCTTAATTTTTTTCTGCATTGGAGATCATCTTACAGTGAATCCTAAAGTATCCTGCAGAATTAAAAATTTTCCAATCAAAGATAGAAAGTTGCCTCTAATGATGTGGTATCTGTTCTTTTGCATAGGACCTAAGTATAATGAGATATTGGGTTACAAATTTTCGGCATGTATTCTTTGGGAGATAAAGAGATACATGTATACAATGAATGAAATGGGTTATATAAAAGATATCCAAGAAGAGATTCAAAATAGTTTTGATAGCTAGGCATGCTGCAGGGCTTTTGCTAAATTTTAGACAGTTACTTATTTAGTTAAGCAAATAAATACCTAGAACTCAAAAGACCTGTGAAAAGGGAATACAGTTCAAGATGAGCTGTAGATAATTGTTGATTTCAGGGGGTGCAACTAAAGCTCTAGATGAGAACAAGTGGTTTTTGATTTTCTTTTACCTGTGTAGCAGTTTTTAATATACAAGGCACTTCATTTGTATGTTTCTATGTGAATTTGCCCATATGTGAAATTTTATTGGAATTTATGTGAAATTTCATTGGAATTACAGTAACTGAATTCTTGATAGAATTTGGGGAGGGTATCTAGATAGCCATAGGTTTTAAATCCACCCTTTCTCTTTTCTTATAAAGTATTTATAGTAAGTCCCAAAGGGACTTATGCTTTTTCAAGAGGCAACTGGATTTTCTGGTTTTTCTTTGAAGATGTTTCACTTCTCATTCAAGAAGCTTCTTCAGCTCTGATTGGATGGTGGGGAATGGAAGGATCACTATCCAGTTAGAGCTGAAGAAGCTTCTTGGATGAGAAGCGAAACAACTTCAATGAAAAACCAGAAAGTCCAGTTGCCTCTTGAAAAGGCACCTGTGGGACAACCATGACCTGGTTGACTGAGAATCTCCATACTATAGATATTTATAGTATTTTGTAATAGAGGTAGTCCTTGTTCAGCAACCACTCATGTAGCTACTGTTTGAAGTTAATGTGTTGAATGAGGGACTTTTGACTGTACCATGTAGTTGCGGCCGTTGCAGTGTGATCATGATTTGGGAGCTTAGTTTTTGGCTAGCAATTTGTAGTGGTTGGAGCATCCTATGGTCATATGATCACCATTTGTGACCTTTGCTGCTAGCTTCCAACAAGCAGAGGCAATAGGGAAGCTGGCAGGAGGTTGCAAATGGTGATCACATGACCATGGGATAGTGTGACCACAGTGGGATTCACCTAACCATGGCAACAAAAACTGCTGCAACTTCTGTAGTCACGTGACATCATGCTTATAACCATGTGGCTTAAGAACAGAGTTGCTGATCACAATCACCACAGTTAAGTAAGGACTACTGTATGTATAAATATTTACTATAAATATTTACTATTTCTAACTCAGCATTCACACCAAAGCCACAATTTGTGGATCTATTTAAAAAAAATGATTTCAGCAAAACAGTGCTATATGAAGAAGACTCAGTTATCAGGAAATGGTATCATGCTCTTAATGCCTTGAACTTTTGTTGTTGTGTCATTAATTTGTGAATACTTTAGCAATCCCTTAGTAAAATGAGATATCAGAATTAAATATCAGAAAAACATTTTGCTAAAAAATATATCTAAGCTTCTGAGATGGTGATAAAAGAGGATTCCTGTTTTTAAAAAACTTTGTGTTACTATTGATTAGATTTCAATCATTAGATGGGATCCAAAAGTAGAATATTTCATGAAACATCGATAAAACATCCTTTGTCCAAAGCAAATAATTAAAAATTCAAGTACTTAGTTTAAAATTGGAGCAACAGTTAATTCTAATGACTCACAAGCAATTTTCCTACGGTTGATTGGTTGAGAAAACAGTTTTGAACATAACTTAATTCAAAGCTATATAGGCTTTTTAGGTTAAAACCAGCACTCTAAATGTATCCAGAATCATTACTCGGTTGCTGCAGATTCTGTAACACAAATGTAATGTGCATGTGTGCCTAACACCAGGTAGGAGACAGATTACTGCATTTTTCTCCAGCTGCAGTTTTTGCATGATCTTCAAAGGTAGCTGTCAAAATTTTAGGGAAAAACCCCTCCCAAAGTGATCCAGCCATTCATAACTCACTTGGTTCTCTGCATGAGCAAAGAGGGAGATATGAATCCAGATCACAAGTGCTCTAATGGTAAGCCATCTTACCTATTTCACCTGAATCCACATCCAAAAAAAGGGATATTACTACTACTACATTCCTGCCGGGAGCACCTAGGCACTTCCAGGTTGAAAGGATTGAACAGTGATATCACCCTTGCCCAATTGGGGGCGCCTTTCATGTCCCCCATTAAAAAAAAGGAAAATGTTTAAAAAACAGCTTTTTAATTTTGGCAACAATATTTGATTTGAAGATAAAAATAGAAGATAACTTAGGTTTTTGGCCATCTAAAAAGTAGAAGTTGTTATAAGGTTCAGCAATATAAAAAGTAGAAGTTGTTATAAGATTCAGCAATATAATTGCAATATTGTGATAGGATTGGAAAATATATTAAAGAAATGGAAAATTGATTGAATTGTTCCAGCCAAAAGAATCACATGACAGACTAATGAAAAAGAGGATTTAAGTAAATGAAAGGCCATAGAAGAAACATTGCAGTTGAGAAATTATGACTCTTTGTAATATTAGTATGAGCATTTCTGAAATAATAATTCCAATTATTGATATTGCAATACTGTTTGCAATACCTATATTAATATTGAATGCAATGAGATAAATGTAACCTCAAAATAAAAATCATCATAATCACAACTGTGATAATAATAATGAAATTCAAATAATTGTTAGTGATTTTTAATACTGAAAAATTATGACGCTGTTGAGATTGGGAGGAATTTTATTTTCCACGTACTGTTTTTTAACATTGATGCTGCTTCTCGATTAAAAGAAAATTTAAGTTCACACTAAATAAGGAAATGTTACAGCATAAAAACCACTCCTTACCACACTAACAAATAAGCTTTAACTACAGCCATAAAACAACAAGAAAGCCACATTTCAAATTATTGATAGTAAAAGAAAAATCTTAAATGTCTTCAGAATTCTGTAGGTAGAATTCTGTGTCTTGTGAGTTGTTTGTACTCTGTAAGAGAAGAGGGAGACAGAAAAATATGCATGCTTACTTTAAAGTGACATATCATGACTTCGTTAAACTTGCATCATAAATCCATTTCCTGGAAAAGAGTGTTTAGTATTGCTATTTATATCTCTACAGTATAAGTTATTCTGGTAAATGTTTATTAATGCTGCTGAGGATATTTCATAAATCATGTTGCCCCCTCCCCATTTTTCCCCATGTTTGTACCAAATGAGATGCTAACTAAGAAAGCATGTTGACCTGTGATTAGATCATTGGGCATTAATAGTTGACAATGACAAGGATGATGATTTTGCAGCTCAACTTGATCATCAGCATGCTGGTCGGAAGCAAAACAGGGCAATTTACAAATTTAGTGTAATGAGATTTCTCTACAACCTAATGAATTCTTCGCGTAGCCTGTAGAAGAAATCTGGTACTTGCAAATCCCTTCTCCCAAAGCAGGTGGGTAGGCTGAATTTTTGCAGAAATGTACCTACAGCCTCTTATTCATTTTGCTAATATCAAAAAATATTCAGTGAAATGACTCATAAAATAATTACAAAGTTTAAACTAAATCAGCCTTAAAATTAAGAAATATAAGGAAAGCTTGATGAATTAGAAGGGATATTACCTTAAGAAAAAGTCACTTTTTCTTTTCTATGATGTATACCTATGTCTAGGTCAAAACATCTCTATTTCGTTAGTGTTTGAAATTAACTTTTAATTGTGTTAGTTTTTCTTCTATCAAAGTATTGTCTTTTATATATTTTTTTCTCCTTATATCTAGGTATCTGCTACATTTGCAGCAAGTTTAGTCACTAGTCCTGCTATTGGAGCACATCTGTCTAATTTGTACGGTGATAACTTGGTGGTGTTAGTTGCTACAGTGGTGGCTGTTGTAGATATCTGTTTCATACTACTAGCTGTACCAGAATCTCTACCTGAAAAAATGAGACCACCTTCATGGGGAGCTCTTATATCATGGGAACAAGCAGATCCCTTTGCAGTAAGTTGCCAGTTATCTTTTTTCTGCTTTATGATACAGGATGCCACTTTTCTGTTTGTGAAAGAAAATGCATTTTGAATGGATTGATTAAAATGAAATTCTGTCAAACAGGCATGCAGCTATTTTTTAACCATGTTGTTTCTACATGTAACTTTCTAATTATGTATAAAAATAACTTGCCTATAGAATCTTTACAATATTTAACATACCTGTCTGTTTAACATTATGACAGGCAAGCAGGAACGTAGATAATTCTTTATTAGATAAGTCAGTGTGGAATTGAAAGGTAACAAACAACATATGACACCTCAGCCCTTGTATGTTTTTCTGTTATTTCATTTATCCTGACTTCAGATCATGGTCCTTTTTAAATATGGTATTATGAAATGAAAATAAAAGCAACATATGCAGTTCCTGTGGTCTGGCTTCACTTAACTCTGAGGACAGGCAGATTGTTACTAACTGGAAGTTAGCTTCATTCCGTTTAGAAAGTAGAATCAAATTATTGGGTGAACAGTTTTTATTTTTGCCCAGAAAGTATACCATTAAGTGCCATCTTGATTAATTTGAACCAAAGTCAAGCTTTTGGTTACCATGAGCTACTGCCCAGATGAATTTAGGGAATCATCAATATTAAGAATATTTAATGCACTGTCACATTAATAATGCATTGAAGCAAACCATTACAAAATTATTCTACCTGAAAGGAGGAAAAGGGTGTGGGAGAGAACTGTTTACCAGATGTTCTGTCCTTTCCAATGTGATGGTGAGAGTTGTTAGTTTTTCCTATTTTAATTTTAATCCGAAGTGCCTCAGAATTTACATGACAACTCTATGAATGGTTATGCAGATTTTTGGAGCTGTGTCTCATTACTCTGCCAGCCAGTCCTTTTTCTCTTTATAAAGTTATGCCAACCTTACTACAGGTACTCCTCGACTTATGACCACAATTGAGTCCAAAATTTAGGTTGCTAAGTGAAAGATTTGTTAAGTAAATTTTGCCCCATTTTATGACTTTGCTTGCCACATTTATTAAGTGAATCACTGCATTGTTAACACAGTTGTTATGTGAATCTGGTTTCCCCATTGACTTTGCTTGTCAGAAGACTGCAAAAGGTTATCACATGACCTTGGATACTATAAACCTTATAAATGTGAGTCAGTTGCCAAGCATTCAGACATGCCCATGGGGATGCTGCAAAAGTCATAAATGTGCAAAATGGTTATAAGTCACTTTTTGATGCCATTGTAACTTTCAACGGTCAGTAAATGACCTGTTGTAAGTCGAGGACTACTTGAATAGCCATGTTGTAGTCTGGGTCTATAGGATTAATTAAATATGAGTAAAAAGCTTAAACTTACTCAAACTAGAGAGGCAGATCTATTTTATTTTGTTAAATTTATGTTCTATCCATCTCATGATCTAAAGCAACTCTGGGCTGCTGGATTATTGGCCTGTGGATAAACATATCTGATAGATATAACGTGCTTTGTACAAGATTTTCAGCATTGAAATTGCAGTATGCTTTTAGTCTTTCCCTTTTGGAGAACCTTCATCTGTTCCAGCTGTCTTTTCTCATAAGTTTCTCTGTCCTAGAATCCTTCTTACCATTTCTCTGGATTCATGAGAATCCCTTTTTTAGAAATGCAAATATATCATAAACTTTAGCTTTAGTCCCCTTAAAATCAAGCGGTCTAACATAATATAGTCACGATTTCCTCTTTTCTGTTGGCTATTATCAAATATGGATAGATGACCCTCTTGGCTCTTTTTCTGAAACCTTTCTGCAAGTCAAAAGAATATCCTGGAAAGGTCATGCTTGGCAGAGTATGAGAAGTTAGAATCAATAAAAAAGTTTCTCAACAGCGGTGCTACTTTTATTTGTTCCTCCATTTGTTTTAGTCCAGATTCTCTCTTCAGGAGCATACAGTGATGACCCTATTAGAGATGGACTGTCCAAGGTTTCAAGTCCTCTAGCTCCCTCAGGGCGGAGGTTGGTGTTGGATTTTAAACTAGCCTTGCCTAGCTAAACTAGTATAGCTAAGGACTTTACTCTTGAAATAGTGGGGCATGAATGCCTATCTGTATTAAATAGGCCGTAAGGAGACGTTGGAAATCCCACTGGTGCGCTACCTTCCCTTGCAGGAACCCTTTCCAATTCCCTTAACCTGTCTTTGGTTTTAGAGTACACATAAGAGTTCATGTAGGTGTTGAATGACTGGAATCTCCAAGCCTTTTGGGACAGAGTTAGGTATAGTTTTAGAATTCATAACCTCCAGGGCAGTTACAGGTAGTCCTTGACTTAAGACCACAATTGAGCCCAAAATTGATGTTGCTAAGTGAGAGATTTGTTCAGTGAGTTTTGCCCCAATGTATGACCTTTCTTGTCACAGTTATTAAGTCAATCACTGCAGTTGGTGTGTTAGTAACATGGTTGTTCAGTGAACATGGCTTCTCCTTTGACTTTGCTTGTCAGAAGGTTCACGAAAGGTGATCACATGAACCCGAGACGCTGCAGCCGTCATAAATACATGTCAGTTGCCAAGCATCTGGATTTTGATCATGTGACCACAGGTATGCTGCAAAGGTCTTAAGTATGAAAAATGGTCATAAGTCACTTTTTTCAGTGCCATTGTATCTTCAAACGGTCACTAAATGAATTGTTGTAAGTCTAGGACTACCTATATTGGTTCCCAATAAAACTCAGTCCCAGCAGATGTAGGCAATCTCATGGTGAATCTCAGTTTTGTTCTGGAGCAGATGATTAGTAATCTTGATATGGAGGATCTTTCTATCAAATTTTTGCCATTTCTCCTTCAGGTTAGATTCATTGCTACTCACACCCACCATGGGTTGATTAACATGGCTACGCTTAGATACCTCATTGTTCCAGATGGATTCTGACAGGAACATGGGTCATTTCTCAGTAGTCTTGTAGACAGTTTTGTTGAGCAACCTGATTAGCATTGCCAATAGAAGTCTATGAAGGCAGACAATGTGATTCTTTCCAGACAGCCTTTCTGTTGGCAAATTCTAGATGGCTAGCTGGTTTTCTGATGACTAATGGTAGATGAAGTAACGCCTTAGGTGCCAACTGAAGACAAAAAGTGACCCAGAGCATGGATACAAACTAATTTTCAAACCAAGGTAGTGGTCAAAAAGGAAGTGAAACAGCAATTTCTTCTATTGTCTTGGTGAGCTCTTGACCGTGGCAAACTCCCTTTGGGAAGAACTTAGTTAGAGCCCCTTTCCTGGCTGCTGCAACTTGTTTATGTGGCATTTGTCAAACAAAGCTATTCAGATTCTCCAGATTATTTGTATGCAGAATTTGTCATGACTGGAAGATTGACAGGTCATATTATCAGGAACACATGACATGATAAAATGTTCTTTTGGCTCTTATACTCACTTGTGGATTGGCCAGCCCCATTAGGTAGACCAGACCAAGAAACAACTATAATAACAGGTCTCTGAGAGTGCTATGCTTCTTCCGTTCTTATACCCACATGAGTTAAAAAGTTGTCTTTCTTGAGCCACTTATGATTGCTTTCTGCTCATTTTGGATTTATACCTTGTTTTTTTCCTACTTGTTTTGGTAATGGATTTGGTTTATGTCTGTCAAGGTCATCTTCCTTAGTCTGTACTAGACTGGATCTTTGCCAGTCCTGACTTCTTTGGAAGATTGGGGAAAGAACATGATAAATTGGATGTGGGACACTATCAGTATCTCATTGCAGGAGGGGTTTGATGCCAAGAGCTTTGAAGGAGCTTCCTCCTTAAGAGATTGCTCGCTGAACCTATCTGTCCTTGGCAAGCATTGTTCTGTCTCATTTCTGGAATAGAGACAATGGCCAATGCACAATTACAGACCATTCTAAAGAAAGTGAATTATTTGAGTTCAGACCTACACACTGATGCGATCAGAACACTTTGTTTGTGAATGACTTTCAAAACCTAGTGCATTTCTATTGTTCTCTTAGATATCTCAGTTAAGTTTGATGCTGTGGACTTAGCACTTAGACGTATATACTGCTTTATAGTGCTTTACAGCCCTCTCTAAGCAGTTTACAGAGTCAGCATATTGCCCCCAACAAGTTGGGTCCTCATTTTACCCACCTCAAAAGGATGGAAGGCTGAGTCAACCTTGAGCCTGGTGGGATTTGATCTGCCAAATTGCAGTGGGAGTAGCTTGCAGTACTGCATTCTAACCACTGCGCCCCCAAGACTCTATGGACTTCTTACAGGAATTGGGGACTGGAGGCTGTGTTATAATGGTTCTTGTTTCTTAGTGAACAATTCTAGTCAGGGCAAGAGAAGAGAGATTAGTTCACTGGCTGCACTTTTGTGCAATGCCAGATGGTTCACTCTTTTATTCCTATTTAACTTTTTACATTAAGTTTCTAGAGGATTCCAGTCAGTCCATTTGGGATGTAGTGTCACCAGTAAACTGAAGCTACCTAATTATTCATTGTTACCCTGTTCCATACAGTAGATTCTGTCAATATTTTGACATAGTATCAAGAGATTGTAAGGGTCTTGATGAGACAAAATAGTCCAAAACTGAACCCAAATAAGGTGGAATAATTCTTTTTAATTGAAATGTATTGACAGCTCTGTATTACCTCATAACACAAATTTTGAAGGAATTAGTCCCTGAATTTGTTAGTCTCCTGAGCTTTATTTATTGTTCTGTGGAGATTTTATTGTTGGTTACCAAGGGTCTTTTCATCAATATTGGACACAAACTGAACAAATGCATGAATACTATTATTAATAAATTATAGAAATAATTTATTTATTTCTGATGGTTTTGTCTTACCTTATTTTTCTTCTATCTTTTGACAGTCTTTGAGAAAAGTTGGAAAAGATTCTACAATCTTGCTGACCTGCATCACTGTTTTTCTTTCTTATCTCCCTGAAGCTGGCCAATATTCTAGCTTTTTCCTTTATTTGAGACAAGTAAGTAGTTTCCAATATTTTTCACTGTCTGTCTAGTTGTTTTGAACATAGCTTTAAAGCAGTGGTTCCCAAACTTTTTCAGTCCACTGCCCCCTTGGTGCTACAAACTCATCCTTGGTGCCCCCACCCAGGGGTAGGATTCAAATTTCTGTGGGTGTGGCCTAATTTGATGGTGTGGCTTGCTGGTCGTGTGACTGGGTGGGCGTGGCTTGCTGGCTGGGCATGGTTTGCTGGTCACATGACAAAGTAGGTGTGATTTGGTGGTCATGTGACTGGGTGGACACGGCCAGGTGACTGGCAAACCAAATACAAGTGGTCCTCACTTAATGGCCGGTTGTTTAGCAAGTGTTCTAATGTATGACTGGCCTCCCCAGAGATACTTGACCCATTTTTTGGAGTTTTGACAGCCATGCACACACATACAAACACACTCCCTTCTAACCCTGCTGGATCAGGTCATTGCACTAGAATCGGCAAAGCATCTCTGATTAGATTCTAGCAGTGAATAAAATCTAATCAGAGATGCTTTGCCGATTCTTGTTGATTTGTTTTATTTGTATCTCATTATTTCATGTTGCTGAATTGCATTGACATGTGTGTCCCTTCTTGTGCACAAACCAGAAGCTTTTGTGATTCTTTGCAGCAAAAATTACCGACCTCTGGCTTTGCTCTACTTTTCAAACATACTGACACTGCCGCGTTCTCGGTGCCGGCTCCACAGGTCCACCCCATTGAGCCCGCTGCATTGGAGGGACCTGCCCAAGCAAGTCAAGTCAATGGGGTGAGCCTGAGAGAGGGAAAGAGAGAGAAAGAAGAGAGAGAGAGAGAGAGAAGGAAGAAAAGAAAGGGAAAGAAAGAAAAAGGGACAAAGAAAGGGGGGTGGGTGGAAGGAAGGGACAGAAAGAAAAAGAAATAAAGAAGGAGGGAGGGAGGGAGGAGAAAGATAATGAGATATCTATTCTAGTCCAATCAACTGTTCCAGCAGGGTTAGAAGTGTGTGTGTGTGTGTGTGTGTGTGTGTGTGTGTGTGTGTGTGTTTTCTCGTAATTTACCAGTACATTTTGGTTTTGCCTTCTTCAGAGTTGGCACTGTAATACATTGGGGAAAAGTAATTTTTAGGGTGGAGCTCTGGTCCAATGGATCCTGTTTAAATCCTCAACAAAATGAGAGCTTCCTGATAGTCTTGACCATGTTTTGTCCACAAAACCTTTAATAGAAGCCAAAGATGTTTCAATGTGCTGGCAAAGATGTTTCAGTGTGGAAAAGGGCCTCAGTCTAAACTAGGCCTCATTTCAATCAGATGCATCAGGTCTCTCTCTCTCTCTCTCTCCCTCCCCCCTCCCCCTCCCTCCCTCCCTCCCTCCCTGACTGGCTTTGCTCTACTTTCCCAATATGCCTGCGGGGCTGGCGCTTCGAACATAGATAGATGGATGGATGGATAGATAGAGAGAGAGAGAGAGAGAGAGAGACAGACAGACAGACAGAGAGAGACTGGTAGGTATGTAAGTAGATAGATTGGTAGATAAATAGGTAGATAGGCAGGCAGGCAGACCTTTTGGTTGAATGTATGGATAGGTAGGTAGATAAGTAGATTGGTAGGTAGGTAGGTAGATCTACATTGGTAGGTAGGTAGGTAGGTAGGTAGGCAGGAAGGCAGGCAGGCAGAAACATTTTGGAAGGATGTATGGATAGATAGATAAATAGATAGATCTATATTGGTAGGTAGGTAGGTAGGTAGACAGAAAGACAGGCAGAGAGAGAGGCAGACCTTTTGGATGTACGTATGTATGTATGGATGGATGGACGGACGGACAGAAAGAATGCGAAAGTGGTGGCACTTTGAGAAAGTAGAGCAACGCCAGAGTGGGAATTGAAGTCCACACAAGTTGCCAAGGTTGAGAAACACAGGCTGAATATATCAACCCAGCCATTCTGGTTTAGAGTTTAGCATGCTGTTTGATTTTGGCTTAGTCAATGAATAAACCATGGCTAAGATCTTCCTGCTCCTTAATGCAGCTGCCCCTCTGCCCCTTCTACAGCCCCCTTTGGCATCCCATTTTGCAATGCCAACCTCCCTGGGGCAGCAGTGCAGCCGACCTCACCCTCTTTGCTTCAACTCAAGGTCCACTTCCATCGGGCCAAGCAAGGGGAGATACTCTGCACACATTCAGAGACTCCCAACTTCAGTGAAGCGTTCCGCCCATCTTTATGCTCTGCCCGGGAGGAGGAAGGTGTGCGGAAGCAGCCCAGACCAGTGGAGGGAACGATCGCTTGGAAACTATGCAAGCAAGCAAGCAAGTGCAGGGCTCAGTCGGAAGAACTGGGCTGCAGAGGGAGGCTAGGTTCTAGGTCCGGGACGGCCACGTAGAGCCGAACCGAGCTGAGCCACGCCCCTTGGTGAGCCGCAGCTGCACCCACCCGCATCCTGCGTGCAAGCCCGGCTGGCTGGAGAGGCGGAGGCCGGGCGGGTGCTGTGCACTCCCTTGTTCTCCGGGGAAGGGGGGCATAATGCCGGACCACCCACCCCTTCCATTGCGCACCTTGGGAGGGTTTTACTTTTGGGCCTTCTGGCACGCCTCCGCCACTTCCACCGGAGAGGGCAGCCTGCAAGCTAAGGCACCCTCTTTCTACCACCTCCCACCTCTCCTCCCCCAGGCTTGGCAAGGCTCACTGCGCCGCAGGTTCTGCATTCAAGGCGCTGGCTACGAAGCGATGAAACAGTCAATGGGCTGCGTGACTGGCAGTTAGTGAGCCTGTGGGGCTGGCAACTTGAATGCCCCCTGCCACGTCTTAGCACCCCCCTGCCGACCCCCTTGCCTCTTACCACCCCCCTAAGGCATCCCACCGCCCCCCAGGGGGCAGTACCGCCCACTTTGGGAACCACTGCTTTAAAGTGAGGTTTCCAGCTTTATTGGACTAATGGGCACAGATGAAATTGAAAGCATGTCAAGAGCCATCTGATAAAATGCCTGTCTTGCAACGGGCACGTTTTCCATTCATGAAATGTTAACAGATTACAAACTGTTGAGGATCCTTTTTAACCCCTTAAGATGGTCCCCATAATCCAATTTCTTTAATATCAACCCACATATTTTCTTTTCTCTCAGATGCATATAAAAAGCTACTTTGGAAATTGAGTAGTCATATGGGATACGAATGAGAAATAACTTCCATGTTTTGGGGCTTGTATATGGTTATAATGTATCTGAAGGAGCTCTTACTTGTAATATAATGCATAGTAGTCCTCAGTTTAAATCACAATTGAGACCAGAACTTTGATAACTAAACAATGTGATTGTTAAATGAATGACTTTTTGAGTCAAATGACTTTTTTTGCTGCCTGAATTTAACTGAATCACTCAGATATTAACGGAATCCAGCTTTATCTATTGATTTTGCTGTTAGAAGCCATCTGGGAAGATCACAAATGGTGATCATGTGACTCTGAGATGATGCAAACATCACAAATGTGAGCTGGTTGATCAGCTCCTGGATTGCTATCATGTGACAGTGGGATTGTGGTAACAGTTGTAAGTGCGAGAACTGATCCATAGGTCACTTTTTAGTACCTTTATAACTTCAAATGACTGCTAAACAAATGGCCATAAGTCAAGAATTACTGGTATTCTTATTTTAAAAACAACATACTTTTTCAATTTAAAATTTTCCCTGCAGCAATATAATATTCTTTTCTCTAATTGTCACATTTTTCTGTCCCTAGAGTGAAAAGGTCGATTCCAAACTTATATATATATATTCAGTATTTGACAGCAAATCACGTATCATTATCTTTGATCTCTCACATTTCTCATTTTTCTAAGAAAAAGGAACCAAAAACCTGTTATTGTAATGCAGAAATAAAAGAGAGTATTATATAATTTGCTATGTAAATTTGACATCTTGTTGATGGGCAGAAAAGATAGAGAACATTTCATTAAAATCTTTCTCTAGCCATTCTTTCAGAATTCTCTTAAAAGTTCATAACAAATTAAGAAATGGCACAAAGGCAATATAAATCTGTAACTTTTAGTTGGAGACAGGATGTTAATTTCGCTGGGAAGGTGGACTGCTTTACCAAGAGAGCAGCAGTCATTTAAAAACATCTTCTCAATTTCAAGTCTTCCAGACATTTTGAGCTATTAATTTCTGTGATCTCTGAACTTAGTATATCATGGAATTGTAGCCCAAACCATCTGAAAGATATCCAGATTGGGGGAGCCTGCTGTAAAGCAAACTATTCCGCCTACCTACCTACCTACCTGCCTGTCTACTTAGTACCTACCTACCTCTGCTTTTAATCTAAGCTTCTAAGCTTTTTTTGGAGGCTAACAAGTAGATTTCTATAGTAACTACAATAGACCTTGACCTGTGTCTTACTTGCTTGGCATCCATTCAAAGTTAAAATGGCGCTGAACTTAAGTGTACAACCAGTCCTCAAAAGTTCTGACCATTGCAGTGTCCCTGGGGTCATGTGATTGTGATGTAGACACTTAGGTATCTGGCTCATGATTATGATTTCAGAATGAACTGTGTCATACCACCATTTGCAAACTTCCCTGCTGGTTTCTAATAAGCAAAGTCAATGGGGAGGCTGAAAGAGAAAGTCAAAATAGGTAGACCCCAGTAAGTTTCTCCCACCACTTTTTCTCCGAAGAAGCCTGATACATACAAGATCCCAGGGATCCTGCCCACCCACACTCTGCAGTGCCTGCCTCCCTGGAGCATCCCCCACTTCCCGCAGCCTCTGCCAACCTGCTCGAGATCCCCGCTGCCTCCCCTGCGCTCCTTAGCCTCTGCCAGCAGCACCTTCTATTCACCATGCCATCCCCCCAGTACTCCTTATCTGGAACTCTCACCACTTCTCACTTAACAGTCTATGCACCCTGGGGTTACGAGGACAACTGATAGTACCAGGTTTGTTTTTGCTAAGCAACGCGGTCCTGGGATGCCACGCTTTATTACTGCATTGCTTAGTGACAGCAGTCCTGGTCCCAACTGCCAATATTACCCAAGAATTATGACTGAGCTATGATTTGTAGCATTCTGGAAACTTTTTTTAAAATTGTAAATAGCTTTTTCTCGTGATGTAATACAGTTCTGAGCAATGGCTTCCCAAATGGTTCAAACAGGTTGCATCATCTTCAAAACAATGGGGATGTGTGTATGTGTTTGTGTGTTTATGTACCTCAACATGGAAAATCTTATGAAGGTACATGAGAATATTTTGAATTGAAATTGTTGTGCAGTGCTGTGCTATCCTGCATATGGCAGTATATATTAGCAAAGCTTTGGTCATGGTATTGTGGAATTGGTTGATTTTTATTTGACTGAAGTTGATACTTGTGGATTTTAATCAACACTTGTTTTCACAAGTTCTTTTTTAGAAGTTACATACATCACAAAAATCATCTAAGATTTGGTGTTCTCTCCAAGTTTGTTTTCCTTTTGTAAATTTACTTTCTGTAAGTACTATAATCATTCCTTTTTCTGAAATTTCAGATTTTCAGTAGCTGTGAAGCTTTAAGTCCAGATTTTGTTTGATTTATTTACAGGTGATAAAATTTGAGTATGCAAGCATTGCAACATTCATAGCTGTGATTGGCATTCTTTCTATAGTTGCTCAGGTAAGCATAATTTTAATAAGGTTTTAAAAAGTTGCAACAAGCACACATAACTAAAACATTAATTAAGTGATGAAAGGTACTTTGCAAATTATGTTCGTGCAAGTAAAATGTCTATGTAAGGCCTAACTACTATAAAATAAAGAGAAAATATGACAAAAGGTACACATTTTATATCAAATTAATGTTTAACAAAATAATTCAAAATACTTAACAGAATGTTGAGTAATATATCAGTCCAAAATTGCATTAAATAAGAACAATCAAAATGTTAAAAGCTGGTTTCTTTTACCAGATCCTGACAGAGAATTGGAGTCTGACCAATTAATAAAAATTCTGCAGCAGAAAATCTTTGTCCTGATTATCGTTTACAGAGTGAACATTTGAAAAAAAATGTTTTAGATTATGATTGATACATGTTGGTAGAGCCTATGGGAGAAAGTGGTTCTCTCCCATAAAGCTGATCAATGCTTAAAAAGTGAAAACCAGGCATGTGAAACTAAACATGAAAACAACAAACCATCACCTAGCGCAGATCACACAGAATACTTGTAATACTCAAAACATGTACGGGCAGTCCTAATTTACCAATCTGCAATTGGGACCAGCAGCTCTGTCATTAAGTGACATGTTGTAAAGTAAAACGTCACACTCCTTATGTTAGTTCTGGCTCAGGAAGCGAATCACCTACAGTTGTTGTCCTGTGACCATGACTTAACACTTCCTGCTGGCTTCTCCATTGATGTTGCTTGTCAGAAGCTTGGTTATGAAGGTTGCAAATAGTATCATGGGTTAGTGAGACATTGTGATTGTCATAAACGTGTACTGTTTTCCAAGCACCCAAACTGCAATTACATGACTGTGGAGGCACTGTGACTGGTGCAACTTTTTATAAATGTAACTTTGAATAGTCACTGAATAAACTTATTGATAAGCAAGGACCACTTGTAGTCCAAATCAGCTTCCTCATTGCATGCCATTTGTAGCAGTTGTAGTTTCCAACATTTTTCAGGCGCAACATTACATTGTACTAGTGAGCATTTGACCTTGCTTGTTTGCAAGGTAACTTGAATGTTTGACTTCACCTAGCAGCTTTCTTATTGGAAAGACTTTTTTTGTCAGTGCTTTTATCAAGGCCTTTCCTTGGAAATATATCATGAGGCTTTGGTTGTAATTTTGAAGGGCCCCCCCAAAAGTTGATGCTCAATTTGTGCACACACTAATGAAAAATTGATGAGTGGTGGGCCTAGAGGTGGAATTCTCGCCTCACTATCAGGAGCTGTGAGTTCGATCCTAGATAAAGGCAGATATTTCTATCTCGGCACGATAAGAATATATCTGCTGAATATAACTCTGTATTGGTGACAGGAAGAGCATCTGGCCAGTAAACACTCAGCTCCATTTAGTTGACCAGACTCCCATCCTGCAAGGGATTATGAGGTCATTAAAAGGAGATGATAAATGAAAAATTGATATTGGTTCTAGATGATCGTTGCACAGCCATACAAATTAATTTTAAAATGTCTTTTTTGCCACTGCATTTATTCAGGTACTGATTTATAAATAAATTGCATAATGCGTTTTCTGACTTTTTGTAGACTGTCTTTCTCAGCATTCTAATGAGGTCTATAGGGAACAAAAACACAGTACTGCTTGGCCTTGGTTTTCAGATGTTCCAGCTGGCCTGGTATGGTTTTGGCTCTCAGCCTTGGTAAGTGCAGTGCAGATGTGTTTTTAATTGACTCTTCCTAGTTTCCTTTTTAACAATTTAATGAATATGTTGCATGTTGTGTGCTTCTGGGCATGGAAGGTATGGTAAACCTACTTGGGCCATATTTTTATGTACAGTTCTAACTCGTAGATGTAATAACTCCATGGTCAGATCACAAATAGGATGATACAGGAAGAGATGCTTTAAGAACATAATTTTCTGCTGGATCAGATTCTTTGCCATCTAGTCTAGCAGTCAGTCTTCATTTTGGCCAACCAAGTGCACTAGAAAGCCCAGTGGTTTCCAAGCTAAGAAAGGTGTTTTGACATCAAGACTAATAACCATTGGCCAAGATCGTAAGTTGTTTACAGAGTTTTAAGTAATTGACAATATTATATGTCAAAACTTAGAATTTGGACTGTGGCTGGTGACAAAACAGATTTTAAAGAAAAGATGTAGATGTAGTAATGAGTAACAAGGGTAAAGGCAATTTTGATTTGCTAAATTTTGAAATTAAGCACTTTTTAATAGAAAGATATAATGGCTTATTTTTACACACACAGAGACAGACAGACAGACAGACACAGAAAGAGAGGCACAGAGAAAGAACAAGAAAACTATAAATATATCCTCCCAAAATGATATCACACAATATTTATGATGCATTTCACTCATGACAGCAAAGTTTTAGCTTCCAGAGTAGTCAGATCTTAATAAATAACTGAATAAGAGAAGTTATACTATATAGTCTTACAGATAAAGCCCTTTTAGAATCATCTTCTGACAGATACCCCAGTACCAATAGCACTTAGATTTATATACCACTTTACAGTGCTTTATAGCCCTCTCTAAGCGGTTTACAGAACCAGCCTCTTGCCCTCAACAATCTGGGTCCTCATTTTACCCACCTTGGAAGGATGGAAGGCTGAATCAACCTTGAGCCTGGTGAGATTTGACCAGCAGGCAGCAGAAGTAGCCTGCAGTACTGCACTCTAACCACTGCACCACCGCAGCTCATAGTAGATATTCTCTATGCGCTGGTTGGATCACTTCTTCCTGGAAGAAGTGCTCTCAAGATACCCAGATCTCAAGTCATGTTGGACTTTATAGGTAAAAACCAATTTCTTGGAAACAAGCTGGGAGCCAGTACAGCTCATATTATGGCAGTGTAACATGGTAATAATAAATCTGACGTATTATCATGCACATAGTTACATTTCCCATCAGCTGACATTTTGGGGTGGTTTTGAAGGGTAGTCTCATATAATTAGTATAATCTAGTTGAAAAATAATGTTGATATAAGGGACTAACTAAATGTGTGCCTAACTTGTTTTTCATTGCAGTTTTCTTTGCTTTACAGCTGGTAGAGTGAAAAACCTTCCACGGGTATTCAAATTTTGTACCAGCTGTAATACAAAGCCTGGCTTTAGATCTTAGACAACTAACAAAATACATGTGATAACCTGGGCGGGGATACAAAATAAACCCAGTCACAAAAACCCGATGAAGCCCCTTTTATTCCTTCACTTTGCTTTCAAGCTCCAAATATCTTTGATGGAAGACAAAATCTCCCACAAAAGCAGTTACAAGAAGGAGGGAAAAACAACACAAACCAGGCAAGATAAGGGCTGGAGGACGTCCACAGATAACAGAACACACACTGGGAAGGACGGCAAATTCTGAAAGGAACCATAAACAAGAGATAATTCCACGCTTTGTTTCCAGCGTTCGCTCATATGCATTTCCGTCCTCATATTCAGTTGTCACAGCTGCAGCCCATGAAGACGATCAAGGCCCTCTCCTCCCAAGTAGACCACGTGTCTCCCTTATCCTCTTCTCCCTGCGTGCCCTAGGATGGAGAGGGGATGGGCCTGGGCCCTCCTTTGACTGCCCAGCTGGCCTCTGCCCTTCCCCAGCCTCCTCCACAACCTCCGGAGCCACATTTCCACTCCCTACCTGCTGTTGCTCCTCTCCCTCAGAGTCAGTCTCCACCAGGGGCATGACAATACATAACATTTGTAGAGATGCCTTCAATCAGTCTTTATTATAATTGCAACCAGTATCCAAATAGCCAGAAGAATTTTAATTAAAAAGCACACCAAGTTCCTCAATATGAATGGCATATTTTTAAATACAGAAATATATAAGGCTAAAGCAAGTGACAAAATAGTGTAAGTGGAACCTTAGGTCGCGAACATTCCTGTTTGTGACCAAATCGGGTGGTGAACAAAAAATCCACCTGATTTTTGAATCGGGTCATGATTCAAAAATCGGGTGGCGAACAAAATTGGTGTGGAAAGATTCCCTTTCCATGTTGATTTCCCCTTTGGCACCATTTTTTATTGCGCACATGCGCAGTTGGTCATGCTTCTGGACACATTCAAATCAGGTCACAAACAGAGTCCAGGAATGGATTATGGTCATGAGGCTCCACTGTATATATTTTGACCTAAAATATATAATTTTTAACTCTTTCACCCTTATTGCTAGTTACCTAAAACCAACTAACTTAATTATTATCCATGTGAACTGTCATTTTTACATGTTTGAAGCTGCTGAGCTGAACCTGGCAATACTATTTGAAATGTTTGTTTCTCTTCCATGCTGCTGCGAGAGCCCAGGATGGATATGACTCCTCCTGATGACATCATCAAACTGGGTCCGTCTACTATAAAAGTAGCAGCCTGTGGGAGAAACCCCCCAGCTTTGACTCAGCTTCTTTCGATGACCATAAGCTGGTGTCTCTGAAAGCAGTTTAGTTAGCAGAAAAAGCGAAAACTATCTTCATCATTGGCATAGCTGCACCTTCAGGAGAGTGGGGCTTCACTCTCCTGCATCGCCGAGGATTCGATGTTTTCTTCAACCGAGGGAGACTATAAGTAGGTAGTAACCCTTGATCCTCGCCCACAGTCTTCCCTCAGCGATTTAGGCCATCACGATCATAAAGATCGCATTGGCGATAATAGCGCCTCTCAGCTGATCGTAAATTTTCACTTTATTGCTGATTTCGCCATTCGGGCCTGTTTACAGCGTAAAGAGCGATTTAACCCCTGTGTAGCTCTGTAGCTCTTGCAAATGGCCAATTTGGAGGCTTCTTCAACTGCACATGGCGAGCACCCATTTTGAAAGCTTCTTCTAAAGAAAGTAGTGAGCAGCCATTTTAGGTGGCATCATCCCCCAAAGGCCAGCTTCTACTATTCATAAGCTCCTATTCAGGCTACTGCATAGACAACACATAGTGAGGATCTCTTCCAGCACCTTTGTTTTTGTTTATGCATACTATGGATCGAGACAAGGCCCACACAGAGCCTTCAGGCCTGATTTCTCAAGGCCCCCAAGCTGGCAAAAGAAAGAGAAGGAGACAATGCTCCCAGTCTGTTCAAAGGGAGGTGGCAGCCAAATTAGGGCCAAAGCTTTGGATCCTAAGAAAACATCCCAGGCTGAATTAAAGGCAGAGAAACGAAGGCATGCAGCCTTAGAAAGGCAGTTCAGCAAAACTATAGAGCAAATGAGGGGTCAACTACAACAGGCTTCCCAACCAGCCAATCCTCTAGTTGTTCAGCCAGCTACTTCTAGGGAGAGGGAAGATACCTCAGCTCCTCTTAGCCACCTCCAATCCTGGTCCCCAGACCGACCTGAAATCCAACCAGGACCTCAAGACTTGAGCAGGTCAGGTCCCAACTTTGCCCAGACTCGTTGGGATCTTTCTTCTTCATCTATCCCATCCGTGGCCCAAAGCAGCTCTCGATCAAGACCAGAGGCCACCTTTACTCCAACAACAGCAGGTCTTCGGCCCCTGGATCCTCCATCGAGTGGCAGATCTTCTGACATCAACGAAGTAGTCTCCTTAGCCATCAGACAGGGTCTGGCAGAAGGGCTTCAACACATCTTCAGGCCTTCAGACAGACCTCAGCCTTCCTTCCCGGCTTTTCCTCTAGCGCAGATTCCCCAAAGGGGACTACCTCGCCATGGAGAACAAAGGGCCCATCTTACCAATGCGGAAGGAGTGGACCTCACTCAGGGAGAGTATGAGAAATCATCTGAGCACAGCCCCTCCCCTGATTCTGATCTGGAAGAGGGAGAAATCTGGGTCTCCAACCTCTCGGAGGAAGAGGAAAATCTGAGGCCTGATCAGCCTCGTTCGGCTTCTGTATTCAAATCTGCTTTATTCAAACCTCTCCTACACAAGGCACTGGTAACAGTCCAGTTGTCAGCGGAGGAAATTGCCCCTGAGCCTCGTGGTACAATCGGGGCATAGGGATTCCCTCTTCTCCAAACCCATTGTTCATTCGGAGGTCTTTCCTTCCCCCATCATCTTTCTTGACTTAGTCAAGGAACAATTTGCCTTCCCCACTGCAGGCTCCCGCCCACCGTCCCAAGATAGGTGGTTCTATAACATGGGTCCTTCCTTAGCTCTGGCAGTTCCCCCAGTAGACGCCCCAGTTGTGGCCTCCTTCTCAAGCACTCCAACTGAGCCTGAGGATGTACTAAAGGCAGAGTACAAATGCTACGAAACAAACACTGAAGCATAACCACTCAAGCCTTGGCTTGGGCTATCCGGGCCTCAACTGCTGCATCATTTTTTACAAGGTCTTCCATCTGCTGGCTACGCCAACTTCAAGGCCGCATACCTCCATCAGACTGTAGGTCGCATGAAGACCTCAATAAGATCATAGCAGCAGCAGAGTTCTTGGCGGACACCATCCTCAACTCCGCCAAGTTCTCTTCCAGGGCCATGGCATCATCAGTGGCAGCTAGGAGACTGATATGGCTACGAAATTGGCAAGCGGAGTCTCGACGAAAGTGGAAACTAGCTTCTGCCCCATGTACCAGTGAGAAGCTATTTGGAGATGCCCTTGACCCATTTGTTGTTGAAACAAAAGACAAAAGGAAAGTCTTTTCATCAACAGGAAAGAGGGCAGACTTCTGCCCTACCCCATACCAGCCTCCCCCATTCAGGCCTGAAAACGCTTCTTGCTTCTCCAGACCTCAGAGAGCGTATTCTCAGCATCAAGATCAACACCATGAGGCTACCGGCAGACAACAAGCTGCAGGTAAACCGCCCTTTCGTGGGGGGGGGGGGGTGTCGCTCCTTGCGTCGCTCTAAATCTCTTGTTCTCCTCTCCCATTGGAGATTGTTTGGCCTCCTTTGTTTCCAGATGGGAGGAGTCAACGACAGATGCCTGGGTACTCAATACAGTAAGGTCAGGGTTACAATTAGAATTTCTATCACCACCCCCAGAAAAAATTCTACTTTGCCCCATTTCCTTGGACAGTTCACAAAGGGCACTTATAGAATCAGCCATTAGTCACCTGATCGATATAAGGGCCATTCAATCAATTCCTGAATTACAACGTGGACGTGGGATTTATTCTTGGCTTTTCGTGGTCCCTAAGGCCTAAAGGGGGTGGCAAGCCATTCTCGACCTAAAATTTCTGAATGAGCTTATCCCATATAGGCGTTTCAAAATGCAGATCTGCATTCTATTCTGGAGAGCGTTCGGGAGGGTGATCTCTCTTCCACTGATCTCATGGAGGCTTACCTCCACATTTCCATCTGGCCTCAACATCGCCAGTTTATCTGTTTCTGTTACCAGAATCTCCACTTCCAGTATCGGGCCCTTCCTTTCGGGCTCTTGTCTGCCCCAAGAGTCTTCACAGTTACTGGCGGCATTGGTGGCTTCACTCTGGTCTGTTCCAGTGAGGATCCAATGCTACTTGGACGACATCTTGATTCTGTTGTCCTCCACCCACTCTGCCCATCAAGATCTTCAAACCACTCTCCATTGCCTCCAGTACCATGGTTTTTCCATCAACTCCAAGAAAACCCACCTCTTCCCAACAACCAGATTGCTCTATCTGGGAGCCATCATCAACACAACTCTGTGCCAAGTTTTTCTGTCTCCAGCCCAAGGGCAGAGCCTTATTGAGATCATTCGACAGGTCCAACATCAACACGCTGTCTCCCTGTCACTGTTGTCCAAACTTTTAGGCAACATGATCTCATGCATAGGCATCGTTCCGTGGGCATGGCTACACTCACGGGCTCTACAATGGTTCCTGCTCCCCTTCCAACGAGCAGGAGCCAGCCACACATCTGCCAAGGTCCTGCTCTCTCCAAAGGTCCACCGTTCCTTCAAGTGGTGGCTTTCCCCAGCCCTTTCGAAGGGTCTCCCATCACCACCGATGCAAGTCTCCTGGGTTGGGGAGCCCACATGGAGGGTCTCATGGCTCAAGGAATCTGGTCCCGCTTAGACAGGACTGTGCCCATAAACTGGCTAGAACTCACAGCCATTTATTTAGCCCTGAAACATTTCAGGGACAGGATAGTGGGGTCCCATGTGCTAGTGTTGACAGACAACATGGCTGCAAAGGCGCACGTCAACCGGTAGGGGGGCACAAGGTCCAGGACCCTCATGAGGGAGCCGAAAGGTTGGGGAGGTGGGCAGAGAGACATCTGCTGTCTTATCACAGCAGACCACATCTCAAGTCGACAACTCCCAGGCCGATTGGCTGAGCAGCAGCCCAGTCGACCACACAGAATGGTCCCTTCCCCAGTCCATTTTCAGGGATCTCTCCCTCAGGTTTGGGACCCTGGAGGTGGACCTCTTCGCCTCTCCCCAAAACGCTCAAGTAAACAGATTTTTCACCAGGTTTCCTTGTCAGGGAGTGGAGGGGACCAATGCACTTCGGAGCAGATGGCCCACCAGTCCCCTCTACGCCTTTCCCCCTCTTCCCATCATTCCGGCGGTCATTCGGAAGATGTTGGAGGAATGCGCAGAGCTGATTCTCCTAGCCCCCCATTGCCTCAGGAGACCCTGGTTTGCAGATCTGGTGAACCTGTCTGTAGCCACTCCCTGGAGGATTGGCTGCTCTATCTATACGGCAGGACCTCTGCACTTTTCACAACAATAGAGTTCTTCGTTTAGACCCTACCTTTGTACCCCAAATAAATTTTGTATTCCACAGATCCCAAGACATAGTAGTTCCTGATTTTTGTTCCTGTCCACACCACGCCTTAGAGTGCAACTGGCACACCTTAGATGTTAGAAGGGCTCTTAGAATTTATATCAAACACACTTCAATGTTTAGGAAGACAGAGGCTATGTTTGTATCCTTTCCCCCTTCCCACTGGGGGAACAAGGCCTCTCCTGCTTAAGCAGGTGGATCAGGGTTTGCATTGCACAGGCCTACAAAGCCAAAGCTCTGCCAGTACCACACGGCTTGACAGCATACTCCACTAGAAGTGCTGCAACTTCGGCTGCCTGGGCCACCCAGGCACCCCTAGAGGAGATTTGCAGAGTGGCTACATGGACATCCTCGTCTCCGTTCATCAGACAATACCGTCTGGATTCCTATGCCTCCACAAGCGCGGCTTTTGGCAGACGGGTTCTTCAGTGGGTGGTGCCTACTTTGGAATGAGAGACCGGACGAGGACCCTCCCGAGGATTTGAAAGCTTTGGTATGTCCCATCCTGGGCTCTTGCATCAGCATGGAGGAGAATGGGCGTTGGTAAATTTACCTGAGAACGTTCTTTCTATCAATGCTGCTAGAGAGCCCAGCCCCTGCCTTGTTGCGTCCAGATTGTGAGGTATGTTATGGTTCACAATTCTGTTTTGGCTTTCAGAGACACTAAAGTCTCTCAAGTATCTTCGCCAAAGCTGGGGGGTTTCTCCCACAGGCTGCTACTTTTATGCTAGACGGACCCAGCTTGATGATGTCATCAGGAGGAGTCATACCCATCCTGGGCTCTCTAGCAGCATAGATAGAAAGGGCGTTCTCAGGTAAATTTACCAGCGCCTACTCTAGATCAGAGAACAACAAATGTATGTATGTATGTATGTATGTATGTATGTATTTATATATGTTTTCTTAAGTTTTTGCGGGTACTTACATGTATGGTATTCAGTTCGGGTATTTTCCCACGTCATTGTAGTTATGCTTTTAAAGTTGTAGCAACGTTTCGGCAGAATCTCATCTGCCATCATCAGGCTTCTGTATTGTGTTACCTTAAGTCTGACTCACAGACGAACACAATACAGAAGCCTGATGATGGCAGATGAGATTCT